ATGTCATAAAAGCTTTTTTTTTAGCAAATATTTAGTAAATATTTAGCCACCAACAAGTTCTTAAAACGCAAGATGTAAATAAACATATGCAAGTTTGTAAGATGTAAAATGCATGTAAACTTACAATTCATGGTACTACACATGTACGTTAGGTATTTTTGAATAATATATTCCGATTCAAGCATTTGCATGCTTATTTTTTTCTGCTTATCGGTTTATTTCAGGTCTACACCAGCCTTTTCAGTCTGATAAAAATTTAATTTGGATAGAGCTCAATCAGGTGTGCATTTCCTATAGCATCGTTTTTTTTTTTCATCGATTTATTTTTGGCGTTTTTAAATTTTTTATTATGATAGGAGACAAGAAGCTAAGTGAGAGAGAGAGAGAGAGACAGGGACGGGATTGGGAAAGGTCCTCGAGCTGGGATTCAAATGGCACGATATATCAGCACGCTGCCCACAAGGCTATTGGCGCCATAATTGCAACTATGGTCATAAGTTCCATTATTACTAATATAGTTCAATGATTCAGTGTTTCCTGAAACCATAATTCAAACGAATATTCCCAAACAGCATCACAAACTTACGTGGTTGGATATACAGCTCTTGACCTATGGTTTAAAGCATAGTTTTTTGTTAGTATGATATATGGACTTAGATTATGCTCTTGAGTACAATTGTATGGACAATTGAGGTCATTGTACGGGAAAGTTCGACTGAAGTGTTTACATTAAGGCTTTTCAGTCCGATTAAGCCATCATTCAGATTATAAACACATCATTTGGGTGCATGTAAACTAGGGATGCACCGAAATGAAAATTCTTGGCCGAAGCCGAACAAAATGAAACACTGGGCCGAAGGCCGAATACCGAACATGGTTTTTCACATTTTCCCCCCATGTAGGCCTATTTTGCCTTTTTTCCCCCCACCATTGCATTAATTAAATTGCCAAAATGTGCTTTTTACTGTTTTGTCCTGCTTTTCAAATAAAAAATCAACTACAAAACAACAATTTAAAAATATTTTATAACATTATAATATTATAATAAATAATAAAGGGGTCATATGATGCTGCGTCATTATTTTGTGTATTGGGTGTAATAGAATATGTTAGCATGCTTTAATGTTCAAAAAAATGCATTATTTTTCACGTACTGTTCATTACTGCAGATCCTCTATCGGAACCTCTTTCTAAAATGCGTTGATTTCTACAAAGCCTCTCCTTCGAAAAGCGCAGTGTGCTCTGATTGGCCAGCTGAGCCAGTGCGTTGTGATTGGCCAAGAGAAGAGACTTCTTTTAAAACATTGATCTTTATTACAGATCCTAATTTGAACACTGTGAATGTTATAATAAATGTATTAATAGAGCTGTTGTAGGGTAATTATTATTATCATTATTATTGTCTTACTTTTTTGTTTTATTTTACAGAACGACAGTAAAATTACAATACTATCATCTATGAATGTCGATGGAGTTGTTGCTGTTTCTGGGCTTTTATTTTGGCAGAAACCCGCAGGTAGATCTCAGTGCTTCTTTTTGTTGACAGCAGGCAGATTTATAAATGATTCTCATTACGAATTTGGGAAGATGTTTGTCGCACGTATCGCATTGTCACATGCCTTTAAAAAAAATTCACAAAAATGTTACCGAGCAACTGACAAGTAACAAGTTCAGCGCAGATTTTCCTCGCGCTTTGGACTTTGAACCCTGGCGCTGCGAGCTCGCAGCGCTGTCAGAATACATGCAATTCGTGCGTGCATTAGAAAATATAACATTCTGCAGTTTATTTACTAATCGTTTGAGGTAATTTCGCGATTTCAATCAGCATACAATAACCTAACCACCAGCATTAGCCACCTCATCTTCTCATCGGAGACATGATGCAGCACTAAACAGTCTCTCGCTGTCGGTGCTTCGTGCTTGTAATGACTTCTGCGTCTTTCTCTGATAGTTTTAAATACTTTCACGCAGCCGACATGTTTGCTGCATTAATGCGTGACTCTATTTGATCGCGTTAGTCATTGTTCGGTTACGGTACATATTAGTCGGCCATTTCGCTTCGGTTGCCGAATATTCGGTTTATTCCTAATGTAAACGAAGTTATTGTCAAATTAAGGTGGAATATTTACCATATCCTTCAACACGGCCACTTTTGAATTCTCCTTCAAATTTCATCCCGTCAAACCTGCTGAAGATTCCGACCCCTTGGAATTTTCCCTGGGCGAATTCACCCTCGTACCTGTTGATCAGAAATAGTGTTGTTTACCCCGTAAATAGTCTCAGTGTCACTGCCAACATGTTCATCTCTGTTTAAGTAGTTAAGTATTTTGAATCTGATCACATGCTCACTCACCTGGATCCATCGGGAAAGACTAATACCCCTGATCCGTGGAACAGGCCATTCTCAAAATGACCTTTATAACAGGTGCCATCAGCAAACTTCAGCTCGCCTTTACCGTGCCTCCGACCTGCACAGCAAACACACTGCTTCTTAAAGGGGTCATATGATGCGATTTCAAGTTTTCCTTTCTCTTTGGAGTGTTACAAGCTGATTGTGCATAGATAAGATCCCTGAAGTTGCAAAGACTAAAGTCTCAAAACCAAAGAGATATTCTTTATCAAAGTTAAGACTCTGCCACGCCCCCCTAAAACGGCTCGTTCTAACACGCCCCCACATATCTACCTCACTATGTGGAAATATTAGCATAATGCCGCCCAAATGTGCACGCAAAGAAAAAAGGCGTGGTTTCAGTAACCGCAGTTAGTGTTGAAGCAGCCATGTCAGGGAGACACTGTGTGTTTCTAGAAGGAGGGGGCTTTGTAGAAAACGAAGCGTTTGAGAGAGGCGGGGCATAGAGGACCTACAATAATGTACAGTATTTGAAAAATAATGTGTTTTTTGAACATTAAAGCATGTCAACATATTCTGTTACACCAAATACACAAAATAATGATCTTTAAAAAAGCATCATATGACCCCTTTAAATGAACACAATAGACTAAATCTATGGACTGCTCTCTAGTGTGTTAATGGCTCTGATAATTAGTACTATAATTAGAATGTAATTCTTACTTGAGATCACACCTGCATTTATTACATAAGCAGTTTGGATCATTAAGCAGTGCGCTACCACCACCTCAAGCCATCCTGACCACTATTCACACAGTAATCAGAAAAACACAAATCTATGTTTAAGCATGTTAATATATGTAGTGGGACTGGGGCTAGTTGTCACACTTTTATCTCTAGTGAATATTTCTCGGGCTAGGGCAATTTTAAGAAGACATATACCTTAAAGTTTTGGCAAAAAAAATTATAATAGCCGAAATCGTTGTCACACTACATGAGGGTAAGTTATCACAATGCGAACCTGCCATTAAACAGCCTATTGTAAGCTTTCCATTTAACATTTAATCAATAAAATGTGAATTCGATTAATTATCGAATTATTGTTAATTTATTAATTAAAATATGAAAGATTAATATAAGAGAACATTTCTTCTGACAGATATAAACCTCTTTCATAAGGTTTCAACATTTTCAGATATACAGTACTGAAAACAATTATGCTGATATTTTCTGTAGCAATCATAGTATGTCAAATCCATTACCCAAATTATAAAAAAGATAAGCTCTATCATTTTAAATCAGTCCTAGATAGAATATATAGATATACAGTAGACAGAATTGTTTTTGTATCTGACAGTGTTGAATAATCCAAAACAATTCCAAAATATATCATACAAAAATGTACTTGTTTTGACAAATAAAAATTTAAATAATGAATAAAAGTAAAGCATATAAAACACATTTATGAAAATGTATTAAAAAAAGTCCTGAGAATTCAAATCAGTGTAAAGTGTTTATGAAATATCTTGCCTTCCTTCCATTCTCCGGTATATTCTTCTCCTCTGGAATAAGTGAAGGAGCCCCTGGTTAATGTCATACCTCCACCAAGCTACAGACAAAACAAATAAATATTAGGGTGGCAGAATTAACATAATAGAATCAAATGATTATAAACAGAGGGAAACCAAACCAATTCTATTTCATATCAAGTATAATAAAATATTGAATAGGACATCACCAATGCCCACACACAAACCTTATTGTGTGCTGTATAGTGCTCAGTCTAATATAGTGGGACCCACGGTAGTTGACTTTCACCCAACACTGTATAATGAATAGGGTAACGGGTCATTTACACTGAACCAACACGTTAAAACATTTACGGGCTGAACGAAAGCAGCGGCAGCGGTGACGTCATCCCGCCTCTTATTCACAGCCCGTGTAAAGCCGTTTGGACGCTATTTCACGGCAGCAGATGAACGTATCATTTACCTGTGATGTTTCTGTGCAGTCTCAAGAGCATGAAAACCCCTCGCTTTGTCCAACGGATCCGCAGAGGGAGAATCGGGTTCTGGCTCGCCGGTGTTACGGTTCCTCTGCTCTCGCTGAATCTCTCTCTCCCCTGAAGATCTCGCGTTGTTTTGCTGCGTGCTTCTTTCAGCGGTGGATGTGTACTGAGCGCTGATTGGCTGATCAATGACTACAATAGGTCTTCTCTAGGAATGTGACACGGACTCGTAGTGCTGTTGTTTACTAAGGCAAGTATGTCCATTACTACTACTCGTACATTAGTGCTCAACCTCTTTTTGACCCATTAGATAACCACCCAGAACGCCCTAGCAACCGCTTAGTAACAACTTGTCAACCACCCACAAAGCCGACACGATGACAAGCATTGCAAATGTTGTTTATGCCTTTGATATAAGTAGCAGTGTTTTGTATAAATGTACAGCTAACAGCAAGAAATATAAAATAGTTTTGAGAATAGATTTGATTAATAAACTTAAATATGCCCAACGGCCCTTTAAACTAAATTTAACTCGGTTCAAATTAAGTTTCAAATTCCTGAGAGTTATTTGTTTTGTTTATTTGAGCGGAATATTTTGAGGTTTATACTGTAGGCCTACAAACACGCATTGCTGCCAGGCATTTATATTTAATGGCTTTTGCTCGTTTAATTTAGCATTCTGTGAACTGTTTGCTGGGTGGGTAAGACATTCATTTATTAGTTTAGCAAACCATTTGAGTGAGAAATTGCCCTGGATGTCCAATTTGTTAACAAGAGACACCTCCAACAGAATAATTACAATTACAGCTGCTACCCTATGCTTTTTGGAATTTTAATTAAATCATTATTTGGCCCATTCATTAACCTTTTTTTTTATTTTTATTAATGAGGTCTTAACAGATATTTTATTATTTGTCTGAGGAACTTGATCCTCTCAATGTAGTCTGGCAGACTACAAGATGCTATTGAAAATGTCCACCATTATTGCCATAAAATTCATTTGGCACACTATATAGAAATCTACCTTATAGCAGGGCATGTGTTCAGACTATACAGGTGCATCTCAATAAATTAGAATGTCGTGGAAAAGTTCATTTATTTCAGTAATTCAACTCAAATTGTGAAACTCGTGTATTAAATAAATTCAATGCACACAGACTGAAGTAGTTTAAGTCTTTGGTTCTTTTAATTGTGATGATTTTGGCTCACATTTAACAAAAACCCACCAATTCACAACAAATTAGAATACTTCATAAGAACATAAAATAGAATACTTCATAAAAACATTTTTAGTGAATTGTTGGCCTTCTAGAAAGTATGTTCATTTACTGTACATGTACTCAATACATGGTAGGGGCTCCTTTTGCTTTAATTACGGCCTCAATTCGGCGTGGCATGGAGGGGATCAGTTTGTGGCACTGCTGAGGTGGTATGGAAGCCCAGGTTTCTTTGACAGTGGCCTTCAGCTCATCTACATTTTTTGGTCTCTTGTTTCTCATTTTCCTCTTGACAATACCCCATAGATTCTCTATGGGGTTCAGGTCTGGTGAGTTTGCTGGCCAGTCAAGCACACCAACACCATGGTCATTTAACCAACTTTTGATGCTTTTGGCAGTGTGGGCAGGTGCCAAATCCTGCTGGAAAATGAAATCAGCATCTTCAAAAAGCTGGTCAGCAGAAGGAAGCATGAAGTGCTCCAAAAGTTATTGGTAAACGGGTGCAGTGACGTTGGTTTTCAAAAAACACAATGGACCAACACCAGCAGATGACATTGCACCCCAAATCATCACAGACTGTGGAAACTTAACACTGGACTTCAAGCAACTTGGGCTATGAGCTTCTCCACCCTTCCTCCAGACTCTAGGACCTTGGTTTCCAAATGAAATACAAAACTTGCTCTCATCTGAAAAAAGGACTTTGGACCACTGGGCAACAGTCCAGTTCTTCTTCTCCTTAGCCCAGGTAAGACGCCTCTGACGTTGTCTGTGGTTCAGGAGTGGCTTAACAAGAGGAATACGACAACTGTAGCCAAATTCCTTGACACGTCTGTGTGTGGTGGCTCTTGATGCCTTGACCCCAGCCTCAGTCCATTCCTTGTGAAGTTCACTCAAATTCTTGAATCGATTTTGCTTGACAATCCTCATAAGGCTGCAGTTCTCTCGGTTGGTTGTGCATCTTTTTCTTCCACACCTTTTCCTTCCACTCAACTTTCTGTTAACATACTTGGATACAGCACTCTGTGAACAGCCAGCTTCTTTGACAATGAATGTTTGTGGCTTACCCTCCTTGTGAAGGGTGTCAATGATTGTCTTCTGGACAACTGTCAGATCAGCAGTCTTCCCCATGATTGTGTAGCCTAGTGAACCAAACTGAGAGACCATTTTGAAGGCTCAGGAAACCTTTGCAGGTGTTTTGAGTTGATTAGCTGATTGGCATGTCACCATATTCTAATTAGTTGAGATAGTGAATTGGTGGGTTTTTGTTAAATGTGAACCAAAATCATCACAATTAAAAGAACCAAAGACTTAAACTACTTCAATCTGTGTGCATTGAATTTATTTAATACACAAGTTTCACAATTTGAGTTGAATTACTGAAATAAATAAACTTTTCCACGACATTCTAATTTATTGAGATGCACCTATATATGCACTATATTCAAATGCACTAATTCCCAGCCTCAACCCATTCAGAAGTACCAGTACTTACATAGATACCTATACATAGTAGCCAGAAAGAAATGCTAATTTTAAAGAAAAACGTCAGACGTACTTAGAGGCTTTTGCATCTGAACTCTTCATAAAGAACTACAAACCTAGAACTTATTTTAGCATTCTTATTTACTTATTTAATTGCTTTATTAT